ACTTAGAGACAGGGAAAATGTGAAAAAAGGCTTAATTTGAAATTCTACATATGAAAACTTCACCTGAGATGAAATTTATACTAATGGGATTAGTACCACATCAACTATTTCAGAGAAGGAAAAAAAAAAAAGGAATTTGAAGACACAGCAAAAGAAACTATTCAAAATAAAAAACAGAGAGAAAAAGAAATTTTCTAATGAAAAAAATATCAATGAGCTCTTTGTGAGACAACATTAATCAGCCTAATAAAAGTATAATAATCAGAACCCTCAAAAGAGTGGAAAGAGATAGGGAATAGAAAAAATATAGAGAAATAATGGCTAAAAAATTTCCAAATTTAATGAAAACCATAAATACACAAATCAGAGAACCTCAAAATACTGCAAAAGAAATATAAAGAAAAATACGTCAAGGTACATGGTAATCAACCAGTGATAATGAAAGTCTTAAAAGTGGGCTGAGGGAGGGGAAAAAAGAGTGTGTCACAAAAGAACAAAGAAAATTATGACAGAATATTCATCCTTGTATACAATGCAAGCAACAAATCAATGGAACAGGGTTTTTTAAATACTGAAAGAGAAAAATACTGTCAATCTTTAATTCTATGTGTAGCAATGATATACTTTAAAAATGAAGGCAAGACTAATATTTTTTCAGACACACAAAAGCTGAAATCATAACCAGAAGATATGTACTACAAGAAATGTTAATGAAAGTCTTATGATTTAAATTCTTTTAAAAGATAATTGGCTATCAGGACACCTGGGTGGCTCAGTCAGTTAAGCGTCTGCCTTCAGTTCAGGTCATGATCTTGGAATGGAGCCTGGGATCCAGGGAATCTGCTTCTCCCTCTGCCCCTCACCCTTCCCCTGCTTGTGCGTGCTCTCCCTCTCTCTCACTCTCTCTCTCTCTCTCTCTCGCTCTCTCAAATAAATAAATAAAGTCTTTAAAAAAAAGATAATTGGCTCTCTTAACAAATAACAATGTATTATGGGACTTATGACTTATATGTAAGTAAAATGCATGGCAAAAGGCCATATAACTTATGTGTAGGTAAAATGCATGGCAAAAGGCCGTAGGAGAGAAAAAAACAGAAGTCAAGTTCTTAGATCATACATAAAGAGGTATAATATCAACTGAAGGTAAACTATAATAACTTAAAGATGCATACTACAAACTCTAAAATGACCACTATACTAACCAGACAAAGAGTTATAGATGAGTCAACAAAGAAGATAAAATGGAATGATGAAAGTTCCCAGATTGACCCAAAAGGGGGGTTAAAAAAGGGGGGGGGGACATCAAAAAACAGATGGGACAAATAGAAAACTAGTAGCAGGATTATGGACTTAAATTTATTATCAGTAATGACATATATAAATAATCTATACAGCCGAAACAAAAGGTAGAGATTGTCAGGTTGAAAACAAACTTAACTCTATGGTATGTATAAGAAATGTACTTTAAATATAAAGATATAAAGAGGTTGAAAAAAGTATAGAAAAACAATAGCATGCTAATGCTCATCAAAAGAAAGTTGGATTGGCTCTATCAATAAGTAGATTAAAGAACAAAGGATATCACAAAAATAAAGAAGTCCATTTAGTAATGATAAAGGCATCAAATCACCCAGAAATAAGAGAGTTCCTAGGCGCCTGGGTGGTTCAGTGGGTTAAGCTTCTGCCTTAGGCTCAGGTCATGACCCCAGGGACCTGGGATCGAGCCCCACATTGGGCTATCTGCTCAGCAGAAAGCCTGCTTCCTCCTCTCTCTCTCTGCCTGCCTCTCTGCCTACTTGTGATCTCTGTCTGTCAAAAAAAAAAAAAAAAGAGAGAGAGAGTTCCTAAACATTTATGTAGCTAATTACAGAATGTCAAAATACACAAAGCCAAAATTGATAGAAATGGAATGGAAAAAAAGAAAAATCTCCAATATAGTAAAAAATTTCAGTACCCACATCAATGTAGTAAAAAATTTCAGTACCCACATCTCCTAATTGATATAATAAATAGATAAATCATAAAAAATACATAAGACTTGAACATTATCAACAGTATAACCTATTGACAATTACAGAATTCGTGCCTTGACGACAGAATGCACACGTTTTTCTAAGTGTACACCGATCCTTTATCAAAATAGACCACATTCTGAGTCACAAATGTCACTACATTTAAAAGTTCTCAAGTCATAAAAACTATATTCTTTCCCTAAATGGAGTATTTTTAGAAATCAGTAATAGAACGAGATCAGGAAAATCCCCATATACTTGGAAACTCACATATTTCTAAATAACCCATGAGTCAAAGAAGAAATTTTTAAAAATTAGAAAGTATTTTAAGCTGAAGGAAAATAAATTTATAATATATCAAAACTTATATGTTGCTGAAGTAGTACTTATGGGAAAATACATAGCATAATATATCCATAATGTTATCAAAGAGAAAAGATCTCAAATCAATGCCTCCAGGTTTTAACTTAAGAAACTAAGAAGGACAGGGGCACCTACATGGCCCAGTCCATTAACCATTTGACTCTTGATCTCAGCTCAGGTCTTGAGCTCAGAGTAGTGAGTTCAAGCCCTGTGTTGGGCTCCATGTTGAGCATAGAGCCTACTTTAAAAAAGAGAAAAGAAAAGAAAAAAAAGAAAATTAAAGAAACTAAGGACAAATTCAACCCAAAGGATAAAAAAAAAAAAAAGTAATAAAGGTCAGAGCATATATCAGTGAAATAGAACATAGAAAAACAATCTAGAATCCATGGGGGAAAAAAAAGCTGCTTCTTTAAGAACATTAACAAATTTTAAATTATTGGCATAAATGTGTCCATAATATTCTCTTGTCACCCTCTTTGTAACTGTATACTGTGTTCTAATGTCAACTCTCTCATACCTGAGACCAGTACGTTGTGTCTTTTTTGTTTCTTTCCTGATTAGTACACCTAGAGCTTCTATTTTGATGGGGATGGGAGAGCAGAGAGACAGGCAATATATTGGGAAACTAATGAAAAACAATAACCAATGATAAGTGGTTTGGTGATACTGAAAAGGGTAATGTGATGAGAATCTTAAGAGGAGACCTTCCTGAGGTAGTGATATTTAAAGCAGGATTTAAATAATGTGAAGATCTGGGGACAGCTTGTTCAGCATGGAGTTCCAGCGACAACAAATCCCGGAGGTGATAATAAACTTGTCTTATAATAAACCAGGTCCAGCAAAGTGATGGTAGGGGCTGGACCTTGAAAGGCAGGAATCAGCAACCTTTGGCTTTCAGGTCAAATCCTGCCCCAGGTCTGTTTTGGTACAGTCTACAAGCTAAGAGTGGCTTTTATGTTTGTAGAGGATTGTGTAAAAAAAGGGGAGGAGGAGGAGAAAATGCGACAAAGATCGAATGTGGCCTCCAAAGCCTTAAAATATTTATTACATAGTTCTTTACAGAAAAAAGCTTACCAGTTCCTACAGTAGGATCTTACTGGTTAGGCTAAAGAATTTGTATATAATTTTCTTTCTTTCTTTTTTGTTTTGGAATTCTTTTTTTTTTTTTTTAGAAGAATATTCCATTGTATGGATGCATCACTGTTCATTAATTACCTAGCCAATGGAATTTTGCGTTTCTATTTTGGGGTGATTATCAATAAAAGGTTATAAACTTTGAAATATTTTAAGTGTTCAGTTCAATGAAATTAAATAAATATATACATCCACTTAACTTTCAGGCTAATTGAAATATAGAGCATTCCCATAACCCCTGTGAGTTCTTTCCTGTCTTTTTTTCTTATCAGTCTCACTAATTATTATTCGGATTTCCGAATTATTATTCGTTCTGGGAACATATGAATGGAATCACACAGTATATGAGAAGCTAATATTCTGTTTACTCCGAGGAGAATTTAGTAATCAACTGAAGGCTTCTTTTTTTTTTTTTAATATTTTATTTATTTATTTGACACAGAGAGAGAGAGAGATCACAAGTAGGCAGAGCAGCAGGCAGAGAGAGAGGGGGAAGCAGGCTCCCTGCGGAGCAGAGAGCCCGATGCGGGGCTCGATCCCAGAACTCTGAGATCATGACCTGAGCCGAAGGCAGTGGCTTAATCCACTGAGCCACCCAGGCGCCCCCAACTGAAGGCTTCTTAAAAAAATTTTTTTTAAAGATTTTATTTATTTGTCAGGGAGATAGAGAGCACAAGTAGGCAGAGCGACAGGCAGAGGGAGAGGGAGAAGCAGGCTCTCCGCCCAGCAGGGAGCCCAACGTGAGACTGGATCCCAAGACCCCGGGATCATGATCTGAGCCAAAGAGAGCCGCTTAACCGACTGAGCCACCCAGGCGCCCAACTGGAGGCTTCTAAGAGGGAAATTGGGACGATCTGATTTTAAATTATGTTTTTGGTTACTGCGCAAAGACTCCTAAGTAGAAGATAGTGTGCCACTTTCGCGGGGGGGGAAGGGGGTGCTGTGGGGGAGCAGAATATGGCTCAATAAAATTCCTGGGCAGACCAGAACTTACCGGCCAGCTTCCAATCCTATGGCAAAGCTGGGATTCAGAGTTCCGATCAGGGCACCCAAGTGTTCCTGCAGTTCCCTGTTCTGCGCAGCAGATGGCCCCAGAGCGCAGTTGCTGACGCGCCTCGCAGAGTCCTCGGCTGCCCCGGGAGCCGCGCGCGGCCTGGGAAGTCCGCCCAGCGATTTCTGTGCTTGTGGCGGCTCGCGCCCCGGGGTTCCTGGTTTGCGCTGAACTGAGCGGGCAGCGAGGATCTGCCCCGGGTGTCGCGCTCCGCTGCGGCCGCACTCCGGCTGCCCGGCGGGGTACGCCCGCCTCCGACTCCTCGTAGAGGCTTCTTAGGTCGGGAGAAGCCGAAGTTCTGCAGGACCCCCGTCCGCCCTGAGACAGTCCAGCCGCGGACCTACTCTGGTTGGAGTGCGTGCACGTGGTCCCAGCAGGCGGCGCTCTCGGGAGGCTCCCCACAGGAAAGGGTGGACCACTGGGTTTAGAGACAAGGTAGCGTCTAAACTAGGCTTTGGAGAGAACTCCTGGGAGGAGGGCGTGGGGCTGGCTGGAAAGGAGAAGGGACAAGTCGGACTGGTGTTGAGTGTCTGGAACCGACGGAGCGGGCTGCGTAGCTCAGGGCACCGAGAGTGAAGCAATTAGTCTTGTTGGGGTGGACAGTTGCCTAGGGAAACAGAACATTCAAGAGCCACTTCTTTTCCCCTCTCCAGCTTCCTCTTGGGAGCTGAAGTCACAACCCCAGCGAGTCCTCCTCCTCCTCCTCTGTCCTTCAGCCTGCGGGAACCTGAGCCGCAGAGGGCCAACACGATCGTGGAGGATGAAGAAATAGCCTTGGGACCCTTGGAAAATGAGGCCGACGCCCCTGCTGCACCTGGCGCTGCTTCTTGCCCTGCCCAGGACCCTGGCGGGGAAAGGGTGTCCCTCTCCGCCCTGTGAGTGCCACCAGGAGGATGACTTCAGAGTCACCTGCAAAGATATCCACCGCATCCCCAGCCTGCCGCCCAGCACGCAGACTCTGTGAGTACCTTGGAGAGGAGAGGGTAGGATCAAGAGGCCAAGGGCAGCTAGGGCAGCTGCAGAAGTGGACAGAACTGCACAGAAAAGCTTGAGGATGGGTGTGTGCGTGTGTATGTGTGTGTGTGTGTGTGTGTGCCTGCGCAACGAGTAAGAACTCAATGGCCCAAATTTGGGATTGCTGACACCCTAGTTACTCGTAACACAGGAAAAGGTAAAAAAAAAAAAAAAACAACTTTGGTACAGGATGAAAGTGAGAGTTATTCTTTCTAAAGAGCTGCTGTTTTTCACTTTGCCTAGGCCTGGCTGACTCCGACTTGCACTTGAGATATTAACATAATATTATGATAATATATATTATATATTAATACATAATGTATATTAATATATATTGCTATTAAGCAACTCAAGAACTGACCTCAATTGAGCTCAAGCAGAAGCTTGTTGAATGAATAAATGAACAAATGAATATGCTAGTCTCAGATTGTCCTTTGTGTGATGGGGAGAATAAAAGGCCAGAGACATCACTCCTTCAGAGATCGCTTTAAAGGGGGCAGAATTTCAAGTCATGGAAGGGAAATGGCTCTGACCATGGATGGGAACTTGGAGTCATCCTGTTTATAGTTCTGCCCAATGTTGAGGAGAAAGGATAATGTTGGAGGAAGAGCAATGGACTAGGAGTCAGGACACCTGCAATCTCTTCATCCCTCTCTCACCAACTGTGAAATTAGGTGAGATCATTTATTTGGGAAAACCCAAGATTCTTTCTGGGTAAAAGAGAGGGTTCAATGAGGTGTGTTCTGCTGTCTTTGATGCAAGTGAGGGAATCCACTGGATCACGGAGACTTTGAAAACAATGGGGGGGGCAGGGGAGGGGCCGTGTTCTGGGGAATGAAGTTATTCTGAGATATAGAAGAAATTGATGAAAAGCGTGGGTGAAAAGGCATGCTGATTTAGACCATGGTCACAGCCATCTGCAACAGTAGCAAAGTGACTTGCAAATCTTTGGGGGGCAGTAGAACTCTTGACAAAGGAAAGCTTCTGAGAGAAGTCAAGTATGTAAAGACAACAATTACATTGTGCTTATTCCCATCCTTAGCACTTTACATGAACTCACCTGTTGACTCCTCACAAAATCCAACTGAGTAGATAATTTTACTATTCTCGTTTTGTAGATGGGAAAACTAAGGCATGAAAAGTGAGGCAATTTGTTCAATGTCATGCAATTTATAATTTGTGGTGCTAAGACTTGAAATAGCACAGAGCTGCACTATGAAACCCCCTGCTCTCCCATGAAAACAGGTCTCACCCAGCTTTTCCCAGTATGGTCATGAGAAAGAAAGAAAAAAGAAAAAAAGAATGAAAGAAAAAGAGAGGGAGGGAGGGAGGGAGGGAGGGAGGGAGGAAGGAAGGAAGGAAGGAAGGAAGGAAGAAGAAAGGAGAGAAAAATGTAAGAACTCAGAAGAATAGGAAGTTAGGGGCAGGAAAGAAAAAAGAACAGAAAGAAGGAGGGAATAGGAAAAGAGAGGATGGAGGGAAGTGGGGAGGAAAAGAAAGAAGTTATCTAGGTCATAGAGGGCATTTCCTGCTGAAACAAACCAGACCTTTGTCATTAAAAACCTGTTCTGGGTGGTAACCATTTTTCTGAAACTCAATGCTTTGTTACCGTGGCCTGTTTTACAAATTATAGTGGTGCTGAGAGCACTTTTTTTTTCCTAAGCCTTATCATCTATCCATGTATTATGGTGCTGAAATGTAAACAGATTGTCCCTTTCTGCGTTACCCATACACTTGCCACATGGTTTGGTAAATGGATGAGAGACAGTTACACTCACTGGAACAGTGGTTCTGAACCTTCTTCTCTACTTCCCCCCTCTACAAGGGAGCATGATTCACTCTTATTTTAACAGTGGTTCTGACTAGGTAGGAAGTAAGGGAGAATTGCTATTCCTACACCCCAGTGGAATATTCTGGAATCTTGGATACACAGGTAGTTTGAAAAAAAAAAAAAAAATTGCTCCTCCTAATGGAGAATTACTGATTTAAGGGAAATTAAGCCAGTAGAATAAAACTAAAAATTTAAATGTTGGCATATAATTATAGATCATATTACCTCAAAACCAAGGATAGCGAGATGGAGCCTCATTCAGAGATTTACCACTTGCTACCTGTGTGCACAAGAGGACCATCCCTTCTCTGGATGCGGAGGAGGATGGGGTTTGACAGTCATTCTGGATTTATATGGATTCTTCCTCAAGAAAGTGCTGCCTTGCTTGTCTTGTCCTTTGACCTACCCACTTTCAGGCTAATGATGGTGGCATTCACTACCTCCTCCCCCTCCCACTCTCTCCAACTCCAGTGGAGTGATGGTTTTTGTCCATCACATACTTGTTCCTTCAGAAATGTTTATGAAGGAGCCATTGTGGCTATTGTTCTTCTCGGGTTCTGGATTTTGCTTCCATTCCTTGCCTTTTGCTTCTGTGACTCTATTTGATGGATCAGCCCAGTTTCTTTTTCCTAAACAAGACACTCACTCATCATCTTCAGAATTTTTGCCCTGTGTTCCACCTGTGTTATTATTCACTTGTTATCTTTAAGTGGTTCACTTCTTTATCTGAAAGAAATATACTTAGAAATTTTATGTCATGACAATAAATGGGAAGTCAGCATGATTTGCTATAAAAGGAGGTAATCCAGAAAGCTAAATATGTTGAAAACACAAATATAATTTTATTGTAGCTCATGACTATTGCCTTTGAATGCTCTAAGCCTGAGGCTGACTTTCTTTCATTAAAAGAGAAGAGTGATAAGTGTTAGAGAAATATTAGGGGCGCCTGGGTGGCCCAGATAGTTGGGCGTCTGCTTCCAGCTCCAGTCATGATCCCGGAGGCCTGGGATTGAGCCCTGCTTTGGGCTCCCTTCTTAGTGTGGAGCCTGCTTATCCCTCTCCCTCTGCCAATCCCTCTGCTTGTGCTCTCTGGCTGTTTCTCTCTCCGTCGAAATAAATAAAATAAATAAAATCTTTTAAAAAAAAAAAAGGAATGTTATTAAAGAGATACCAATTCAACTTGCTGTCCTTGATGGTATCAGGAGAATTGAAAAACCATGGAAAAGGGAATCACTTTTGCTCTGTGTGATTCAGTATTGTTTCATGCCATGTGGGCATTCCACCTAAAATAATCTCATGTCATACCTGTTTTCCACGCTTAGGGAAATGTGGATTTATCCCATATTTCACAACTGTTTTGTCACAATCGGTAGTCATAACCTGAGTAACACTTGATTTCCAACCTAAAGAGAAGCTTTAGCCCCTGCATGCTTGCCAAATACAGCCCAATATTTTGTGTCTTAAAGATGGCATCACTTCATGCTTGTAAATTCCATGATTTATTCTCTTTTTATCCTCTGTGTGTGTAATGGTTTTGATGGAAAGTAACAGAAAACCCGTTCTGTCTGGCTTAAGGAGGGAATAAATGTTCTGAAACAATAACATGTAATTTACAGAATTAGTGTAGATCCAGGTTTTCGAAAGAAGCCAGGGCCCAGGGCAGGCAGGGAGTTGGAGCCATAGCCAACCATCTGGTTGGAACAACTCCATAGACAACACCATAATCACAGCCACTGGACATCTGTGGTGCTGGGCACCTTAGTCTGTAGCTGCTGGACTGTCTCTGTGCTGCCTTCCGTAATTTCTCAACTGTTCCTGCCACTTTGAATCACCAACCAGAAAGTGATATCCTAGATGGGAGCATCTGATTGTCTGCCATAGGTTACCTGCTGTGTCCTAGCTGTGGGGGCCAGGGGGTAGGAGATGGGGAGGTCTCTTTTCCCCAACTTTGGGTGTCTGTAGTGGGAGGTGAAGAACTAGTTCCTTCTAAGAGTACACACCCATGCAATGGGGAATTTTCCACTAAAGAGGGACTATATGCCTTCAACATTGTTCATCACTTCCTTCATTCTGCAAATATTTATTAAGCACTGGCTATGTCCCAGACACTGTACTAAATGCTCTAGATTTGGAGGAGAATAACATCAACATGTCCCTGTCCTCGGGGATCTTACAATCTAGCGTGGAAGCTGAATATTAATCAAATAATCACATAAACATATAATTAGAATTGTGTTAATATACTGAGAGTATACTTGGTGGGAATGGGGGTGGGAACTGACTTAAACTTGGGTTCAGGGAAGGTTTTGAGCTATATTCTGAACCAGTAAGGGACATAGGGAGTCGCAGGTTGGAGTGGAGGGTAAGAAAGTGGTGCTCCAGGGGATGGAACTGCTCATTTGAAGAGCTTTGAAGAATTCTCATCTGAACAGTGAAAGAGTTGGATTTATTCATTCGGGACAAAAATATGTTACTACTTTCTTTGTAACACAAAACAGGTCAAGGTGAATTCTTATGTTGGTGGGGGCAGCTTTTGTGCCTCGCCCCCCCCCAAAAAAAAGAGTTATTGAGGGTAACTGGTTTTAAAAACAAATATTTGATTCATTACAGTAGTAGTGCATGTAAAGACTAGTTCTTTTTTCAGTTTTCCGTGTATGCATTATTTTGTTTGAAATTTAATTAATAATAATAATTACTTCAAGGAAGATTTTATAATGTAATAATATTTTAATAAATAACTTAAGAAAATAATACATAGTTTAAGTACGGACTTAGTATATTTTCTTCTAAAGCCCTCGAATGTGCTTTCCAAGTACTTAGAAAATTCTAGAAAATCCATTACATTAAGCTTTATAAGTACCAGGAATTCTAAGGTTTTTAGATATCCCAGTGCTGTTTATTGGGGCAAGAGAGTAAAGTGGTGAAGAGCGCTCTTTCTGGAGTGAGATCATCTTGGTTGAATGCCTCGCTCAACCATTTCCTAAGCATGCTTTTGGGAATGTAGAGAAGGGAAAAATATTTTGCCTTCTATTCTTCTAAATTCTTGGTTAGAACCCCTGGTGACAACAACAACAACAAAGATTAACAAGAGAAAAGCATACAAATGCATTTAGTA